TAGCTGAGCACTCATCACGTCCAATTCCACCAGGTGTGATTAAAGTTCAGCAAGTCAAGGCCCACACGCCGGCCATCAAGCAATTAGCGCAAAAGCGGGTCGTTAATTGGCGTAAGTGTGCGGTATCATAGTGGCCATATTCTAGAAATGCAACTACTCCCTTTGCATTTCTTATCCCTTCCCGCTTATGTCTTTGATGAAGTATCCGCGGTGGAGTTCGAAAAGTCAGGTGAATAATATTCTTGTCCCAGCGATCATATAGCCTTCTTGTCAATTACTTCCTGTGACTCGCATGTTCGCTTGTATTGGCCGTTTCTTCTAAGAGGTAGCTCCAGCGGCGACTCGACGTCAACAACTTTGACTCGATTGAGACTGATCCCGTCCTCCTTAACACCACGGAGGCTCCAACAGGTCTTGATGTGGCAGGGGAGAACGCGTATGGTGCTTCCGGTAGTTTGAGCAGCCGGTCACCTCGAACAAACATATGGACACAGTTATCCAAGCTTTTTTCGACGTAAGACTTTGCCGGTGGAGCTCGAGGTGGAGCGCATGAATTGTTGCGAGCGATGAACAAAATTGCTGGAAATCTAATCATTACCACAAAAGGTCGGATTGACCATTTCGTCTGGTGTAGTGCCAAACTCAAATTTGGTCGCTCTGCAATCCAGATCCGAGTCTAGTGCCGAGCGAATGTCAAGAAACGCTAGGGGCAGATTTTCAGGCCAGGTAGCTGGGTTCTGAGCGGAACGCATGGCTGGCGGTGGAACTGCTCAACCACGCCGTTGGTAGTCGAATAATTGGCCTTCGTTCGTATTCGCATGCAGCTGAGAAACTATAGGAGGGCTTGAAATAGTGCAGCTTTGAACTGGGTATTTCGGTCGGTGAATGGGGCACCGGGAACGGCAATCGAACGATTGACATAAACCTTAAAGCTGGTGTCTGCCTACATATTTGGCATGAGGATGGTTTCTGCCCAGTAGGTGCAGCTGTCGATGTAGGTAATAAAGTAAGTTGAACTAGTAGATGGAGGCAAAGGGCCTACGACATCGAAGTGCATATGGCTGAAACGAGATGGGGCTGGGGAAGGTGCCGGGTTGAGACTTTTTGTGGCGCTGAACCTTGTTCCGCTGACAATTGGGACATGATCGTGGCTAATCTTCGACGTCCTTGTCCATTTCAGGAAAGGAGGTCGAAAGTAGGTCGGTTCCCAGGTTGGGGAAGTCCACGAAGAATGTGAAACACAACTTAATGCACACGAGGGGGCACAAAGGAGCGATGGAAGAGAGTCAATAAGTCACAGTGGATTGTGGCAGTCCCGGTGGTGAGTGAAACGTCTGCGAAATGGCGATCACTTACGGATTCGTTGTCAGGACAAACAAATCATATTTGCTCGGCCGCCATGGCACTACGGTCGATCCCCTGTGAGAGATGGAGTGCGGTGACGAAGGTATATCGCAGGGGCTTAAGTGAGTTAAACCCTAGCAACAGCATGTAGGTCACATCATTCTTCTTCGACGAAGAACAGATGTCAAAGGTTTGTAGTCCGTTTGAAGACCCGATCATTAAAGGCATGTTGGAAATGGTGCACAGCTAGGTGAATGGCGAGAAGTTCATGGCCAAAGCTACTGTAACGTGGTGCCTCAGCCGGCAAAAGTTTCTTTGGGAAGAAGGCCAACGGTTGAATCGAAGCAAAAATTATTTTTACAAGACTGCACCTACGGCTGCGGTGGAAGCATCTGTAGAGACCCACCAGTATACGCTGTCAAAACTTACCAGTCGTCCCTGGTATCTGCTTTGGGAAACCTTCTTTTGTTAACTTCGCTGTTCATTCGATAGGTTTACCATTAGGGTCAGCTGATTTTTGGGAGTACGATGCATGAGCACGGTGGCATCGGTAACGGAAGTCCTGGTTCCTTGGAAAGCAATCAATGCTTCACCAGTAGGGTTGAGGTGACCTGTGGAACAGACAGCATGTTTTTGAGCGGCAGCATGAGGTCGGAACAATTCGGGAAGGAATATCGCAGGGGATTGAGTAAGTTAAACCCTTGCAACTGTGATCTTCAGACCATGGTTACCTAGTAGGGGAGAAGTCAGTAGAGGCCAGAATAGGAGGAATAGTTTATTGTGTACACAAAGG